TTAAAAGATCACTATTTTTAAGAACTACCATAGTCACTAGACGGCTGAAGATTTACATCTAGAAAATGCATAATGATCAGTAGCCATGACCCCCAAAATCGAAAACGGATCAAATGGAGAAATCAAACAGGTACTGGAAAAGAGAGGAATATCAAGACAAGGAACACCACTCTGAATACCTGTGTGCACAATCGGGAACATAATAGCATCACAGCTCACAGCATGGGAAGAATGATCTGCAGCACTCATCAGAACACCCTCAGACAGAGTACTGAAGACACTGAAGAGCAACGCGCAGTTTTGTAAATTATTTTAACTCCAGATTTCTGCCCCTGCTCCAGAAACAGTCAGCAACCCTGCAGCAGTTTAAACTGCTGTGCAAAGGAGGTCTGATTAATCTTCCTGCACAATAAAGCAAACGGAGAGCAGTGGGCTACAGAAAAAAAACAGGAGGCCGAAGCCCAGTGTATCTACAGTGAGAGACTTCGGTGTGACTGCATCCTGCTGCAGCTTGAAGCAAAATTCCTGTTATCACCACAGCGTCTCGGCAAATTTACTCGGCTCTGAGGAGCCACAGATCTCGGCAGTGTCTTCTAACAGCTGTGAAAATGGCAGCTGCAGTGGATCAGTCAGCTACAGCTCACCTGCTCTGAAGGAAGATGAAGTTAGGAACCACACCAGATTTGAGGATCGAATATTCCCTTTGTTCTCAGCAGGAAACATCCCAATATACAGAGCCCAGGAACGCTTTGAAACAGCGTGAGAAATCGGGGCAACCCAATGAACTTCAGACATCATCACAGGCTGATTAAGGAGACAAATGTGTGGACTCACCACAGAGTAAACTAACCAGGCTTTAGTCAGCACTTCTGAATATCAATGCATATTCCATGCAGCAGCTACAAATAGCAGTGAGCAGATTTCCTAGGTTTATCCCATTTAATTTCAAATTTGCAGATATTCCCAAATTTGGAGGTGTTGTGCTCGATCCACTGGAACTTAAATCAGCGCAGTCCATAGATGGAACTCTTCCCTCGTTCGCTGCTGACAGGATGTTCTTTGGCACATATCGAGTGGACCAGCATGCTTTTCCTCATTGTTCACATTGTAACCCAGAAGGATCAAACCGTTTGATAATGGCTCCAACGCTATTAGTTTGAGTATCATT